TTTGGGGCAGAGATTATTCTGAAAGGAAAATCATGCTTGGACAGCACATACAGCTGATTATCAAAGGTTCATCAATCAAAGTTATATTTATGATAAACACAAGTTCAAAACTGCTTTTAATTAGCCATAGATAATGTCTGGTGTCGTAACAGCATCACCATTCATTTTTAACTCTGAGACCAGGCGAACCAAAGGGAGGCTGACAGATAAATGTAAACTGGAAGTAGGTCTACTCGGTGCTTTGTAAATAAATCACAAGTCTGTTTTAACCAGAAGTCCCCAGGAAGTGAATATTAACTGAAACTAAATCAGGAACTAAAAGTCCTTCTTGTGTAGACCTGTTTGCATTTCTACCACACCGGAACGACCGAGACCAAACGGACAAATTCCAAAGATTATATTTTAAGAGAAAACTTTGTGATCTTTGTCTGATTCTTACACACCATACAGGAAGTAGTCATAGTTTTGAATGTCTGCAAACATAAAAGGTCGCCTCCAGTCCCAGTATTGATACAATTGGCAGGCATTGCTTGCTGCTCAATGGAAGTCATTGTTACTGCTAGAGTGGCAGAGTTTGTCTTCAAAGGATGGTGTTTGCTGACACGCACTTCAGCACTCTCAGAGAATTTCTTTATCATGTCCTGTAGCATGAAACATTTGGGACAGGAGGGTTTGGGGCTGATTGGAAGAATGCTAAAAGAGCCTTGCAAAGATAGAAAGCAGTTCCCAGTGGTGTCTTTTATACTGAAACTTTTTTCAGCTGCAAAGATATTCAGGGACTAGCCTGAAAAAACCCCTGCAACGACTGATCGATTCTCACAGTCTGCCCTTTTTTAAAATTTTAGAATTACAACTCTTATTTCTAGATTTTACCAGTGTTTTTAGACCCAAAACATGTTCCATGAAATATGGGAAGGGAGTGGGAGGGCAGGAGCTGTGCCAGTTTTACAGTGTGAATTATGTATGGATCTTCAAACCTTCAGTAACAGAGTTCAGCAGAAACAAAGTCTGTATTCACAATGAAGGAAAAGATCTGTGTGTAATTCTGATACAATTTAAAAAATGTTGAATTTAAAATGATTAAGGGTTTGATATAATACCCAAAGAGCCTGCCTCCATGACAAAAAGATAAAAATAAAAAATAAGATAAACACACTCCAAACATCATATGAACAGTAAATGTATCGTGTGTTAGTCTGCCATTTTTTTTGTTTGAAGCCTTTTTCATTCAAGTGTAGCATTCTTAACTCTTATCATCACTTTAAATAAAAAGCTCAGAGAATCACTGACGCTCTAAAAGCTGAGCCTAGTCACTGTAACATGGTATGAACTGTCACGACAGGTCAAAAAATATGGGAAATTCATTTCTGAAGGTTCATTTCAGCCTTTGTGCCCTGAGGACGGCCACACATCACACACTGAAAGAAAACACAGTGTCTACAACGTTTTTTGGTAAACTGGGTTAAAGCAGCGGCCCCCAACCTTTATTGCGCCACGGACCGGTTTATGTCCAACAATATTTTCACGGAACGGCCTTTAAGGTGTGGCGGATAAATACAACAAAATAAAACCAGTATTGGTACCAAAAAAAAGGAAGAAGATTTATTCATAACACACGGGAAAAGACCCAGGGAAACCGAGTTAACGATAAAAATGATAAAAATAAATAAATAAAAAAAATGATAAAACTGATAAAAACCCTGAAAACCATAAATTTCACACCCGAGCCTCAACTCTTGCAGCCCAGTACCAAACGACTCATGGACCAGTATTGGTCCGCTTAAAGGATTAAGTCCAGTACTTTTTCATTTTATGTTGACACTATAACTTTTGCAAACTTGTGTCTCAATGTTGCTAAAAATACTTGACATGTACAGTGCATTTTTTGTTTATTCTTTTGTTCTTTGCATGTTAAGTAATAACTGATCTCTCCCACACTGTCTGCTTTGAGGAGGGGGGGGCAGTAATCGCAGGTTTTGCAAATGATGCAAGATGTGTTTGTGATTTGGAAGCTCTCCAGGGAAGCAGGGTTCAGGTGAAGACGCCATCAGGAAGCGTCCCACTGGGACCAGTTACCAAGAAACACAGCCCTCAACCCCATATGCACCCTCCACTTCCTCCATGTGTCAGGGCCGAGGGCGAAAACAAAAACCACCCACACTGCAGCAGATATTGCGAAGTGACCAAAAGCAGCCGGAAGCAACTGAAATGAAACCTGCTTAAAAGTATAAAAAAAAGCTTTAAAGTCCACATCAAGCCTGAAACAGCTCAGTGCCAAGGCAGCACAGTCACACTTCTCAGAAACAGCCCCGGCTTCCCGCATCACCTGTTTACTACTTCTAAAACTAGTCTGCCTTTTTAGGTCATCACTCTCAGTCGCAAACAGGTGACACTACCTCCATCCCAGATAGGAAATAACGGTCAGCCCCCATGTGGCCCATATTTGCAGTTTGTATGGGCCATACTTGGTCTTGACACTAACACGGTAGGTCTGGCTGCTTCAACATATCGAAAGGATCCAGATGTTAGGGGTTTTGTGGCATTTGGATCACATCTGGCAGGTACAGCCTTTTAGAGGGTCGTAGATACCAAATAAAGCCCAGATCAGACCCAAACGCTTCTCAGTGTAATTTCTTTCTTTCAGAATCACACGAAGAGTCGTCTAAACATTAAACTCTGGTAATAAAAGAGAAAACTAACTGTACACACTGTACTGTAACTTACCTCTGAACTACTTTTACAGCGTTTTGCTATTACACATACTACGAATCTGTTTGACTTGACTAGGAACTCATCATAAAGGCTTTGTCTCTCATCACTGTCTGTTGCCAGTAAATTACTGCCGAGCCATATAAAATGGATGCAATTAAGTGAAATTTATAGCTTAAATCTCTTTGCTGCTCTTTGAAATCCTGAACATCGCTGCCAAAATATACATCTGACCTAAGCGGTAAGGGAGGGGAATAGGGAGATACCGAGAAATTCAACCTTTCCACTCAAACTTTAAAACAAGGGGCCGAGGGCTAAGAGATTTTTAAAATAAGCTCAAGAGTGAGCCATCTTCAGCTAATCTGCAGCTATTCTAAACACAAACTCACACTTCATTAAGGAACTCGTGCTGTGGCTCGCTGTGAGCACACTGCATATCGGATCAATGCAGGAAAAAGCTTTTGTTCCTCATGCAAACAGAGTTCAGGTTCCGCAACTGTAAGTGGTGTAAGAGCTGTTGAATGTTTATGTGAAAGGAAACAGATTTCCCCCTGAACTGAATAGATCCCTTTGTGCATTTACAGTATCGCTTATTAAAAACACGCCAACACTCATTGCTGAGCAAATGCTGCAGCGAGAGAACTGACAGGGACTGGACATATAGAGCATATATCCTACATAGTGGACAGCAGAGAACTTCAGTCTCGGACTCCTGGCTTACTTGTGGGTCTCGGATATTTAAAAGTAGAATGGGGAGCAGAGCCTTGAGCTTTCAGGCCCCTCTTCTGTAGACCGAGCTTCCAGTTTGGATTCAGGAGACAGACACTATCTCTACTTTTAAGATTAATCTTAAAACTTTACTGTTTTAATAAACCTTGCAGTTAGGACTGGATCAGGTGACCCTGAACCCTCCCATAGTTACATAGTAGGCCTACGATGCTGGGGATTTCCCATGATGCACTGACTTCACTCACCTTTTTCACTTACTATGTGTTTAAACACCACTCTGTATTTAATCATTAGTTATTATTAAACTGCCCTGTGTGGTGACCTGTCCAGACGGACGGATATTAATCTCTTGCTCTCTACCAGTGCACATCTTTTGTCCCGTCTCCCTCCCTCACAGCCAACCAGCTGCCCCTCCCCTGTTGGAGGTTTCTGCTGTTAAAAGGGAGTTTTTGCTTTCCACTGTTGCCAAGTGTTCGCTCGCAGGGTCATGTGATGGTTGAGTTTTTATTTCTCTATTATTGTTGTGTCTTTACAATAAAAAGGCGACTGTTGTGATTATAAAACAAAATTGAACATCAAATAGTAAGCTACACCTTCCTTTCTACATAAAGCAAAAAAGTGTTACACTGAATGATGAATGTTTTCTGCTGCTAAAAGCTGCACTTGAATTAGATAATTATATAGCTAATCATATAGAGTATATATGTGAAGCACAGGATTTGATAAAAAAGGAGGTAGGATTCTGGAAAACCACTCCAGCTTCGATCTCAGTTGACTCCCAAGTCTGTCCTCAGATTTAATTCATAGAGCTGGCTATGCGAGTAAATCATCAGCACATGAAAACATGCGTGTCAAAGTCCACAGGCCTAAACATTACCTCGGCCTCTCTGCTGCACCAGCCTGTCATAGTAAGAGGCTACACATTAACATATTCAGCACAAAGGCTTCCTCAGCCACAGCTTTTACAACGCCAAACACACCCTGTGGATTCGGGCGCCGCTCTGTAAACACTACAGTTTCCAGACGGCAGGCAACTGGGTTCATATAATCCTTACGGCCAATCAGAAAAGAGGCAGCTAGGTGCAATACAATGCATGAGAACCTGTGGAGGAGCAGGTGCCATGGAGACCAGCTGTTCATCGGCTGAGGAAGTGAAGGTAAGGGCTGTATTTTGGCGGTCAGAGTGTATACACTCATCCCGTATGATGCTGCTGTTTTATGGCCGGCGCTCTGTTCATGGCAGTGTGTTTATGCTATCTAATCTGCGATCATTCAGGAAGACACTGGCATTAAGGAGCCTCTGAATCAACATACTGAAATTTAGCCAAGAGTAGGCACCATAAAACAGCTGAAATTTAGCAAACGCACCCCACGAGCTAACTCCACCTTGACATTTTAGGATTAAATACGACTAAACACTGCCATCAAAGCTCCTGTCGGTGCATATCCAATAAGAAAAACCCTCCCTTCTCCTTTTCCATAATGTGTTTCTCATAAGGTTGGAAAGTAAAGACACTCAATAGATGTGGGAAGTCCTGCAGCTTTGACCCCACCTGACCTACCTGTGGATGAGCATAATCTCTGGCCTGGATGACCACCCAGTCTCTCCTTTCCTTCAAAGCAGGCCGAGAGGTGAATCTGCAAACGTGTCCCCGTAACTCACATCTCCTCTAGAACCTCACACTCTCCTGTTCACCCGGTGCTCTGAGACCAAGTGCATTTAAAATGTGAACTGGGAAAAACTGAGGAAAAGATGCTGGCAGCTGGTGATGTGTGTTGAGAGGAATGCACCGGTGTTATCACTCACTGAGTTATGCAAGAGCGATCCGGTGGAAACCTTTGCCTGGTACAGTATTGGGCCTCAGCCTGCTTGTGCATAAGCTAAACACACTCAGTGGCGCTCTGGCACATACACACACAGCCGAGCAGTTCCTGCCCTGAGGATTTTCTAATTACCCTCAGTGAATGGGAGGCAGTCGGACACACAGAGGGCCAACCGCCTGGGTTATCACACACACTCACCCAAGACTCCCCTTTTTTCTTCCAAATATACAGTAGTATTTTTAGCTTTCATCTATGGCTTTTTTCCCCTAAGAAGCCATAAAGTATATGGGAGGTATCCTGAGGAGAAGACTTGTTCTGGGCAATGCTGTAGGCCAAGCTATAACGAAAACCTTTATATCAGTGTGCTTTCAGTTCCCTCACAGAGGGAACTCGTTACAGAACATTTTCAATGCAAAGTTTAAAATATTCTTGTTTAAGGCTGCCTTTCAACTTAGAGCCTGTTTGTTGATCAGAGGCAGAAGAATAGAATATACGTTGATTTATCTGTCAACATATTTCAGTGCAGAAAAAGATCCTGATTTGCACTTTGCTATTTTTCCCCAAAACTCCTTCACACACAGAGCTCAGGTACTACAGACACTGGCTGTTTTATCAAGCTGCTAATCCAGTTTAAAGTTTCTTTAGAGTGGCGATGTCACTCTCCATTTAAATCACAGGCTATGTACAGTCAGTCCACTTTGGACTTTAGTGGGCCAGACCAGTGATACCTCGCTTTCTGTCCATGTAAAGTTTAACTACACACGTTTAATCCTGAGATGTCGTAATGTAAGACAAAGAAGTGAAATTTCGACAGTATGTCTCAGAGTGTACACATGTCAAAGAAAGTCTGCTTTAGTAAAGAAGAAGAAAAGACAAGAACTTTTCTCTCATTTTATTGTTTATAGATTACTTAATTACTTTGGCGAGGTATGAATGGCCTCCCCGTGGCCTTTATCGGTAGAACAAGCTTTAAAATGTATGAAAATACAGTTTAAAGTCCAAAATTTACACCCCTGCTCTACAACAAGCAGCCATCTTAAACACACCTTCTGGCAGGTATTTAAAACCATTATCTTAAATAAACTTTAATCTCGTTGGTCACCAGGACTTTAAAACTGCTACTCGCCAGTCAAATCTGAGAAACGCTGCTTAAAAAGATTTTAAAAAGCCAGGTTCTCCTGAGAATCATACTTGCACCACCATCTTTGCTGTTACTAATTTCTCCCATAAATTCTTTGGGTGTCATATCTTTCATAATGTCTCACTCCAGTCTTGCTTGAACTCGCATGCTAAATGAACAGGGAATACTGTGAAAATACCAGCTGTAACTCATGACATTAAAGGTGTGCGCTTCAAAACACGGAACAATTGTGTGTGTGTCGGGGGGGGGTTCTTTGCAAATGTTATCAACCCTCAACTGTGAAAACAAGTTTTAAAGGATCCCACATTCTGGCGCCATACAAAAGTCAAACTCAGCTGCACACTGTCTTTCCAAAAGCTTTTTTTCCCTCCTTCATCTCATTCAGAGGGACCAAGTGAGGAACTCCCGGCGATGAATGCAGCGTGGTAGCAAGCTGCAGCCCCAGGCTGCAGAGCTGAATGGAGCGACAGTAAGGTGAGGAAGAGTGGTATCAAATGAACACATGAAAGAGGGAGGTTACTGGATTTAAGGCTTTTTGTCTTTGGACTGTTCAAAGGAGGCAGCTGTCGACTGCACAAGGCTCAGCTCTATTCATGTGGAGGGGGGGGGGTGACCGCAGACAGACCACGCCAACATACACACACACACACTTCAAAAGAAGTTGTGTGCAAATGTACGTCAACTCAGTGTTTTCAGGACAGATTCACATGTTATTATCATTTAACATGACTTCATTCAAACATAACTGCGTCTGCATCTTATTGCCTCTTAGACTGCAGTGCACAGAGCCGCTGCAGGTGGGGCACAGATAAGTGAAACTAAGGTAAATGAAGGATTTTTGAACAAGTAAACAACCATTTGATGACACTTTTAAAATCAAATCAAACCAAATCAAGCTGCCAGGGTTCCAGAAACAATAACCTCATACTAAAGGTGAAAAGCTAGAGAAAAAAAAGGTTGAGTTGTCTTTTTCAGTGGGTTTGCTGAGAGAAAGAAGGGCGTGGCACCTGGAGCACCGCTAACAGCGACAGTGACACTAGAGGCCAAAACTACCTGTGGGCACAATTTGCCTTAGTGCGCCACACTACCAGCTTTGGGGAATAGGCCCCTGCATGAGATTGGGCTGTACTGTCCCAATACACAGCACATAAAAGACAAGCAAACAGGCCAACAGCCAACTGAATAACAGGCTTCTGTGTTTATTAAACAGAGGACAGGAAGGTGAAAAAACATGAAGTTAAGGTGAAAGATTGGCTCTTTTTTTAGCATCTGAAATCGGACTCAGCAGAAAAAATATCTGTCATATCTGTCCACATAATTTTCCATGTTTCTTTCATGTCAGAGACCCACAGGACCTGACGGTGTTACCTCAGGAGCGCTGCTATGTTGGGACTAAAAAGGCCCTGAACTTTAAAGCTCTATCCAACACAGTGGCTGTCTGTCTCCCTGACCTGTGTAACACATTGTGTAACACAAAAATTTTCATCAACCAAAAAAACTGAAACATAGGCTTGTGGAAAGTGCTGAACCCAAAAATTACTACAGGCCAGACTATTTGTTGGACAGTTACAATTAAATGCTACAAAAATCAACAACACCACACATGGCAGAAAAGCCCAGCCCTGTGGCTGCTAACACTTTTAGCCACTTTCTCCATCAGAGCGCTACAGAGAGACACACAGACAGCCACACTGTCTCACATACACACACGCAGTGCTGCAAAAATATATTTGCCCCTTACTGATTATTATTAATAGGATTGTCACACTTGAATGTTTCACATCATCAAACACATTCGAATATTAGACAAAACGTGACAAGGTCATTTTGACTTTAACCTGCCGCAGAAGTAAATAGTTTTCTTAAATCATGAGTTAATTGTGATTAACCACATTGTTTTGGAAAGCCTTCAGTTTCACTAGCCACACCCAAGCCTGATTATTGCCAGACCATTGATTTGAGAAATCACTAAAATAGAACCTGTGTGACAAAGTGAAATAGGCTAAAAGATCTCTCAAAGCAACACATCATGCTACGATCTAAAGAAACTGAAGAACAGATGAAAAGCTATTTCTAAGGCTTTGTGACTGCAGTGAACCACAGTGAGAGTGTTTATCCACAAATACAAGTCCCCAAAAAAGGGTCAAATACATTTTCACCGCACTGTAGCAGCTAACCAGCGTAGGAGGAACTCCGAGCACCAAGAGGACTTCCACATGTGCTCTATATAGGCACAAGGAGAACCCATAAATTCCCCAAGCTGCCCCACTTTTAGTCTCGATGCCATTTTTAGACTTTTTTTTTTTTTAATTTTCTTATTTTTAAAATAACCTATATCCATATTTATTTCAGCAACAAAGTTGGGCATTTTTACGCTGGAGCCTGTAAAGAAGTACTGGCAACGTTTATGAAAATGTACTTTTGAGATTTCCTTTTTCAACTTCGGCGGTTGTTGCTTTGTTCATATGACAAGTGTGGAACATACTGAGGCCCGCAGTGCAGCTGCTGAGGCCTGCAGGTGAATATCACTGGCATTTGAATAAATTCATGGATCTGCCTCCTAATCAGGTCACCTGGGGATGCGTTTAATCACTCTTTGCTTTTCTGAAGCAGTGCAGTGAAACACCACCCTGCATTACCTAACTGCCATATACCTACCTTTTAAAACCCTACCACAGATCTGGTGTATATTTATACCATGTCCTTATACAAATACTTCTGTATCTTTATTTACAAAGCCACAGATCCATATCAGTGTGCTGCACACTAAGGCCCTGATTAAATATGTCTTTAATGTAGTCAGACAAGTTTGTTCCTTGAGTTTTTAGGCACCCACCAGCATCACAACTCACAGGAACAAAAGGAAAGCACATTGATAGTTGCTTTAAGAAATATACGCAGCTTGCACGACACCACTGAAGCAAACGATGATCCTGTATGTCTACACTACAGCTGTTTTTAGCACTGATCTAGGATCAAAACTCCCCTGACTGATGCGTGGATTTTTTGGATGAATTGTGGGGGGGTTTCAGTTGTTGAGGAGATAAAACGTGGAATAGTGAGACGTTGAAAGTGAAGCACAAAGTTTCACCAGGTGCACAGAAAATCCCAGTCTGACACTGAAAGTCAAATCACTCTCTCCTTTGCCTGAAGCAGCTTTTTCTGCTGTCTGAGCTGCGTCATCACCGTAGCGCATCTTCGGTTGATATTTGCATCAGAGGCAAATCAGGCAGTATGTGGGAGAGCCTGGGTACACGGGCAGAGCTGTAGCAGCTTCTGAGCCACCACTTTTCATTTGGTTCTGTTTCACTGCCTGTATTTTTTTAACTAATAGAAAATGTGGGGAAAACAGCCACAAGCACAGATAAAGTAATAATATAGTCCATATTATCTACATTATATCTATCGACATTTCTTCCAACTGAATGGACCAGCGATGGTCACGCTATAACCCCTGCTCCTCCAAAGGCTTCACTTCTATTTTCCTATGCAAATAACTTTGCATCCATGGACTGCCTGCAGGAGACAAGGCTGCTCTGTCATGTTCAGGCCTCTCTTCCTGACCTCTTTTGTTCAAATCAAACCAAGATGCAAAACTGGCTTCTGCCGCAAACATAACTAACAGGCAGCGCCCTTTGTCTGCGACAGTTTCGCACAGAGACGAGCTGCGGGGGAACTGAAAACAGCCACAACCGCTCTTTTAGTGATGTGTGAAATGAATGAAAGAAATGTGATGGATTAGATTTTTTATTTTAACCTGGCTTAGAAGTAAAATCCCTATGATCTGGTTTTATTTATGGTTTCCGAACAATGTGAACGCACTACAACTCACACAAGACGTACCCTGTGGGTGTCATCAGGCCTAATTAACCTGCATCATTCTTTGTTTACCCATCTGCTGTGGTGGGGGTCCCACTACATATGGACTGTATTATCCTATAAGAAGTGTAATGACCACCTTTTTTACAAATCTGCAGCAAAGGGGGACACTCTGGGCAGCAAGGAAACAGCTGGCTGACTACAATGAGGGCAAGATGGGATGGGAGGAGTTAGGGTGGGGATGCAGAAGGGGGTGGTGGGTGCACAAGTTGCGGCATGGGCACGCTACTGAAGTGTTAAGCAGTTAAGGTGTGGCAGGTAGTGTGGGGAGATGGCTATGCACTAAAATGCTGTTCAAATGGCTTTGAGGCAACTGTGGAGTCGCATCAATGATCAGCTGTACCTGGGAAACACACACACATGCACAAAGAAACGAGCTCCTGTGTGGGGTATTGTGAGCACAAACACCGAAATTACACAAGGCTCTCGTGTGCCCAGAGAGTTGAGCCAAGCTCGGCTGGTGTTGCATCAGTGGGAATCTCATCATAGCAACAGATGCCCACAGTCAGCCTGGGAGGAAGGCGAGAACAGGAGCACAAAGGGGAAAACAAGGTGCTCGCCTCCTGAAAGGAGCAGGTGCATCATTTCCATCGTGTATCAAAAAGCCTATAAAACATATTCAACATATAGTTTTCTTGGATTTTATCAGCACTTTGATAAGAATACACCCAAATCATCACAAATTGGAGCATCGGTTATCATTTACCACCAATGCACAACCGACCCCTTGCTGTTACTGAGATTGTAAAGATCATTTCTGTATCCTCAGATAATCGTCTTGTGAGACATTAGCAGTAAAATAACAGGATTTCTGCTTCTTTGTTTAAAGCAAGGGATGCTGTCTTAGTAACAAAGGTATTGTCTTGTTTGGGGATTTAAATGTTCCCATTAAAAGCAAAATCTGAGGGTGACACTATATGTTTATTAGCCTGTGCTACTTATTTATCATGTGTTTATTATTTATTAATTATTTGTGACCGAGAGGAGACACTGAGACTTCCAGGAAACTTTAAGTCATTGTTGTTAAAGAGAAGCTTTAATCCCATGGGTCACAGTTATCACGATCTGTGCCATTAAAACTAAACGCAGGATCTTTCCTTTTTCCCCAGGAGGACTAACTATACCGTGACAGTCAGTAAACCTGTGCAGCTCTGGAGCAGTTTCATCAGGTTTGATAAGACTAGACTAGATAAGACTAAGACTAAAACAATCCTAGAAGCCTGGATATTTTGGCCTTTGCTGCTACTACTACTATCTTTGAGCTCTTGAAACTAAGTGGGAGTGCAGCCGTGAAAAGCTTGAATCCCCCTTCAGCACTGCGAAGC